GACCAATTCTATTCACTTTAGACACCCAGTTGCCAGTTTCTTGAATTGCTATATACAGACACCCACATTTAGTGCTCTTAATCTCAGACTGAGTCCTATCATAGACGTCTTAAAGTATATCTTTAAATTGGTCAATCCTAACATTGTTCCAACGTTCAACAGCAGTAAATGCAACTTACGTGATGCAATTAAGTTAGCAGAAATTACATAAATTCCTCTTCTCCAGTGATCGTCAGGCAAAACATACCCAACCAGATTCCTATTTTTCCACCCCATTTAAAAATACATGTCAACCAAGAAAGCATTCATTTTCTTCACAGGAGAATTACTCAGACAAAAGGAAGCTCAGTGTTCATTGGCAGAATTCCGCATCAATCTTCAGTGCTTCCAGAAGGTAAGTAATGAGCGGCTGGATTTTGCCCGGGATTATTCCACTTATGTTGAACATGCATCAGCATTTTAGTACAAATCAGAAGTGCAAATATGATGCGAATCTCCTAATTGTTTGCACTTACTACCCTTTGCTTCACATTGCAGAGCAGTTTAAGAACGAACAAAACAGATTACTTTCAGATAAAGCTAAACTAAAAGATATGCTCTGAGAATGCCCCTATGTCACTGCAGCCACTAATAAGCATCCAGTCCCTGGGAACAGACTAGAGCTAGAAAAATATACTGAAATGTGCGTTTCATAGTGAGTCCTTAGCTGTTCTGCTCTGCAGACCTGCTCCTACTGAGCTGCAGGACTTCCTAACGCAGGCACAGCCTCAGAGCTCCCCACTGACCGCACAGTCCAACCCACAGTTCGAACAACATGAGAAACTCAAACCGTCATGAACAAAATCAGTACCAAGCTTTCCAAATGGCTGTGGCTGTACCATCACACTTTGAAAGCCTCTGAAAATCTAAGAAATAATATTATTGACAGAAGGTTCTTGGCAAGAAAGAGCATATTCATGTCTGTCCTGAAAGAACAGGAAAAGCGCCTTCAACAGACCAGGATGCTGACCTTCCGGGGCCTGTATGATGCAATGTGAGTAGGGAAACTGCCTTACCAACCAGCTTCAAAACTAGGAAAGATTACATCATAAATCAAGTTTAATTTGCAACAATCAAGAAACAAACAAAACACCTAGTACTTCCAAGCACAAGGGGTTTTTTTTCTTTCATCTTTTGTTTTGTTTTACCCTATGGGAAAATTCAGGGACCTGAAAATAGTCACACATTAGTCAGGCTGTCAATTTCTTGGATTAAATCCAGCAGCAGGAACATCCTAAACATTCTCTAATCATGACGTGTCTAGCCAGTAAAGTGAAAAAAAGCTGCTATAAAAACTATACCTTCAAAAAACTGTCAGGATCCATGAGTTACTCTCATGTAGTGACTTCACTGTTATATTCTTTTACGTTTAAATACGATTATGTATTTTTTTCTAAAATGTTCAGAAGCAATAAAAATACGTCAGTTACAGATTGGCTGACACTTATCTGTATTGTCTGAGGAAATTTCTTACAGAATCTAGTTTACTTTCTCATAGCTGTGTTTATTTTGTAAAGCATATAAACATTTTTTTTCATCAGATTTAGGAGATATGACTCACAAAAAGCATATACAATGAATAAAATGACAGTTATGAAGGCTGTAAATTTGAAATGTGGATTATTAAAATTCAGACACCAGAAATGACGTTTAAATATATGTCCTAAAGTGAAAAGGTGGTAGTCATACATTATCCTCAAAGGAGTTGGCAAAAGCTATGGGAACTCAGTATTTCTCAGAGGTGAAGAGGGTGGTAAATAGGGATTTAGGTCTGAAAATAGAAACTTGTAACTAAATGTCCTTTCTTCTCAGTGATATTCCTTCCTGCAGTACCTAATTCTGCCATCAGGGCTCAATGTCTCCAATGTATTCTGTAAGGATTTTGTAATTTCAGATATAATTCTCCCTCTGTCCTTATTTAATGTTTTCCTTCTGAGAACTGCAAAGGTTTTTATGTAATTATTACACCCAGGAATTAGTAAGTTCCGCCTTTCCCAGATGGAACTTAAACAGAGCTGAAGCGATCCAAATTTACAGATTTTCTGAAATCTTTCCCCCCAGAAAAGAAGACAATAACTGTTATTTGCTTTGGAAAACTATTGTGTCCTAAATGAATGCTCCTGCAATTTGAAGGCATCTTATTGCAGTAATATCTAACAGGAAGGGAATTGTTACTTTTTTCCTGAATCAGTGATGTGTGCCAATACATGTCCAAAACACTAATACTATGGAGATGATAGCCATGACTCTGTAGCTGAGGGTGACTTACATTTCAAACTTAAAAAAAAATTTCAAATCTTGGTATATTTAAAAAATACAGCATATAATCTCCAAGTTGAATGATGAACATAAAGGGAGCTCTCTAGCTATAAATTTAAATAAAAATTCACTGATTTATGAGTAAAATAAATTAAAAATCTGATTCCTCAAAGCATTGCTGTCAGCTTTAGCATTATTCAGAATGATTTTTGGCAACAACAGGAAGTAGATTCTTCTCATATTGCTAAAACCCACTTAAAATTTAAGAACATACTTCATGAAGAAATACGGTGGTAGTGAAAACTATGAGCAACTGTTTCTAATGGCTGTGATTACAGAGATCACAAGTCCAATCCGTTCAGCAGCTCATGCAGGAAGCTATTTTGACAGAGATAAACTTTTCTTTTCAGCTAATTTGCACGTGGCAATTCCATTAAGTGTAATAAATCAGTACCGACACAGAGAACGGACTCATATCAAAAGTTTTCATTGATAAATCACTTTTTTCCAGCTGTCAGTGTTCTTTAAAGTTCTTAACAACTAGTGATAGTTTTCACCATTTGTGTTCCCTGTGGTACTGCTGCCTCACCTATACAGCGGAAAAAAGGCAGCTGGTTAACTAAGATCAGATTATACTTTTGACTGTAAAGACACAAGGATTGGTTCTTTTTTCTTTTTTTGTAGTACTGTTCTCCACAGTAGTCTTCCGAATCAATAACCATTACAGAATAAAGGCATTTTCATCACTTTACTTCAGCTGCTCTGCCAAAAAAATTTTAACTAGCCAGTAGTTTTTGGCTGCTTTGTTATAACCAGCGGAATGATGACTCTGGCCAAGTGTTAATAATCAAAAAGTCATTTAAGGCTGCATATCTTCCAAGTATTACAAATAATTATGCAATAGCACTGTTATGGGGCCTATTCACTTCACAATATAGCTTAAAGAAATAAGATATGAATTACTCACTGAAAATGTACATACAACTTTAAGGCTGCCTTGCAGTGAAGGTATATATGTGTAAGAAGAAAAAAGAGGAGGAAGTCCTCATTTGGAAAAAACTCTCTTTTTCGCATATTATTACACAATTCAGAAAATTTTACCCAAATATTAAGTGGAATTTGCAGCTTTTTACCTAATCTTGGAAATGTATAGTCATGCAAATAAGATGATAGCATTAAATAGATCACTGCTGCCTCTGGGAAGGAAAATAACTTAGCCTTTTGTGCTTAAATATTCTCTGATAGCTGTTCTTCTTTCTCACAAATTTCCCTTGCCAACTGAATCCCAATATTTGGGATTGATGGCTCTCTGCTTTGGAGCAAACAAGATCTTTTCTCTGATAGGGTGCTGGAAATGGATGCTTAAGATACAGATAACAGTACAGTTTGTCAGGCACATTATATAGCTATTATATAGGTGCCAGGGGAAAGGTACCAAGTCATATGACAATTTTAATAGGCCTAACAGTGTTTATGAATCTGTCATATTTGGAAAGATAGCAAGAGAAGAAAATCTTTGAGAATAAGATAATTCTGTTTCTACACTGTTTGACTGCTCAGAGAGAAGAACAGAAAGAGAAGACAAGACTGTGACGTTGGAGTAGCTGAAAGAGCATTCCAAAGAAGATCACGCAAACGAATGTTATGACCCACTGGAAGTAAGAGAGAATTTGATTTCTTAAACAAATGGGTATTCCTTTGGGATCATTAACTGCTCTGCCACTAATATGACCTGCACATGGCATATCAGTATTGACAGTTGTGATGCAAGCATTATCCATCAACAAACTTGGTGGTGCGTCCACAACTGGGGACAAACAAAAAGTTACAGATGGTCTCCAGGTCCCACCTTATTAACGACCACTGCTGAGACCGTTGCCTCTAAGCACAATCTGTGCTTTATGTGCAGCGCCAAAGGATGCACATCATCTTCCCTTTAAGCCCCCCTGGCTCCTAATTCAGGCCAGGATGACCTCACCTTCACTGGTGAGGCAGCAAAGAGGCACTTCAGACTTCTTTTCAGTGTGAGCTGTGGAGGCTGATGTCTGTTCTTAGAGAAGCAACTATACTCCTTTCCCTCAAAGAACAGGAGTGGTTCTAGCAGCGCTTCTTGAATCCAGTACTTCCAAGATGAGCAATGATCACAAGAACCCAGGCTCTGGGGGGTCTTTTAGACACAACAGGCAGCTGTCTGTGTAAATCAGTTGGACTCCAGTGAAATCCAAGGAAGTACAAACTTTTTAAGACTTCCTTGTGTTTCAACATTTTTGAAGGGCTTGCATGCACTGTATTTATGAAACAAAAGTCATCGTAACAGCTGTCACTAATAGCTGTTGCTACTGCACATAAGCAGTAACATCACACCCTAGCTTTCTAATACATCCTTTTTGTTTCCCCAGAAGATATTCCTCAGCAAAATAATCTCAAACACATAGGGAATACACGTATTATACTTATGCATATTTATGTATGTATGTGGATAAGCACTTGAAAATAACAGTCCCTCATAAAATGTATCCGTAAATTACTGATAGCCATTTTCAGATGTGATGCTGTTTAATACAGCTTTTCACAGGTATTCCCATTCCCCACTTCAGAGTTGAAGTCTGCGGACATCATATCAATACAGATTTTCTGTCTGAATGCACTGGCCAAGCCCTGGACTAGTTTTTTGGGGTTTTTGTTTTGTTTTGTTTTTTTACCTGGAGTAATGGATAGCCTGGTGTCCTGCTATATTAAAATAGAAGTCAGTTGTATGCTTCATCTCATCAGTATGTCCAGAGACTTCAATCCAGTGTGATATTGGGAGGCAGTAAACTCCATCTACTAAGTTGTTCTGGTTGTAAACACTGCTTCGATCATGATGGGGCCCATTACCTAGAACAGAGGAAAGGACAATTGCAGGCTGTGAATCCAGAAAAACCTTTTGAACGATTTGCGGAGGATGTGAAGTTAGTATTTAAGGCAAGGAGTGGTGGTTGCTAACTGTTTAGACCGCATTTCTCAGAACACTTCAACACCTGAAATAGTTGGAACAGAACCACTGCCACAAAATAAACGTTCAGCATTAAAATCAACTATTGGAAATGATTTCAAAAGAATGCTAAAGCTATATAAGACTCCCAAACCACGAACAGCAGCTCTTACAATCTCAAGAATAATTCATTTCATTTAAGTTTCTCATTTGCCATCTGATTATATTTGACCTCAGGGTTCCACATTTCTGCTGTGTGACTTCCCACTCTGGGGTTCATCTTTCTGTGATCCAAAGTCTAGGTTTGATACAACACAGCAGCACCACCTTGCCTCAGACTTGAAGAAATTGCTAAGCTCTGAGAAAGACCTCCAAGAAAGTACACAGGGTACAGCCATACAAGATAAGAAAGGTAAAACTGCGAACAGAGGTAGCGTTGAGACTTGAATTGTTACCAGGTGAAGGATTCAGGCGGAAAAATACCCACATAGAAAGGTACAAAAACCTAAAGGAAAAAATAGACAGATCAGAGACAGCAACTCAGCAGCAACGAAGATGTTTCAGGGAGCAAGTGGAGGCTGAATTCTCCACCTGACTGACAACTGCACAGCCAGCCAAGACTCTTCAAGCGTCTTACTGTGGATAGCAAGCACACTAATGTCTAGCATAGTAGCTCATCAAATTCTAGTTGTCCTTTGTACGTGTTAATCGATAAATAATCACTGTCTACTCTTCAGATGCATGTATCCTGCTTACAGAGAGTCTCTTCGTACACAGGAAAAGTTGCCCAAAGTTACCCAGGAAGAGACTTACATCTGCAATCCTAGGGGACCACTACTGCCTAAAATGACTTTGGCTAAAATAAGAAACTTTTCCTACAATTTTCTACTACGTAATATCCACTATGCCTACTTCTTCTTTTGTAGCAATAGTGTGAACATTAGTACAGATAAGGCAACCAATTTTAAACACCACGCCAGAATAAACAATCTGAATTGAATGGGGTCATGTCAGTAATCAAAAGGTTTTCTAGCCTCCAAAAATTCAATACATGCATATTCATTCCCTCCCCCCCTCCATTTTAAATAGGGTAATACTGAAGGCCATGTAGGAATTAATGTGCAGATTAGAAGTGATCTAGTCTATGGCTTGACTTAATGTAAACCTGTTACATGTATACATTATTAATGATGTTAGAACACTTTAGAATAAACTTATGCCTGAAGGAACAGCTTCATTTTCACCCTGCAGGTAAATCTACGACCAGCTTCCAAGCACCATATTTAGGAAAATTTACTAGCTCAAGAGCATTTTAGCAGTTATATTATTGCAATGATTAGAGAACAAGGCTAACTTGTAAGAGTAAAGCTCAAGCCATCTCTTTGTTTCCAGATGATATGCAGCACATTTTATCCTAATTGTGAAATATTATTAAAATGTATTTTAATAAATACTATTAAATAGTAATAATATTATTATTAAATGTAAAGCATTAACATTATGTATAAATATATTCATAAATTATGTGGCATTAATATTAAATATTATTAACATTTATGTATTAAAAAGTAACTATTTACTCTTTCTACATTGCTGAACCATTACATACCATATGCAAAGCTATGGCACAATTTTGGATAAATAAGATGAACAAGATCAGTATATACGTCCTGAACGTATATACAAATACAAATTCTATTGTTATATTTTTATTTCACATTTGCAGTTGTTTATATTTTTCTTACCTCGTTTAAACAATAATATTTGAAGACAGCAGGGTACCTCCACAAATACAATAGAGCAAAAAAATGGAGTTTAAAAAAAAATTACGACACAAGTACACTTTAAATCATAATGATTAATGATTACAGGTATTGATCTTAAACATCATCTTCACCTTCTTTTTAAGCTATTACTTAACACCCTCCTCTCTTTTTATTCCTTGAAATAAGAGTAAAGTTAAAATCACTGTTACTTCTTTAATAACAGCTTAGTAGTATCAGTAAGGATTGAAGAATCCAATCCAAAATTTGTATTGATTTATTCATTTTGTATTTGTGATGTCACTTGTCCATTATAAACAGTAATTTCTTTAACATTTCCGGTAAAAATTGTTTCAGATTTTTAAAAATTAGAAATTTAGAACTTGATTTCAGTTAAAATATTCTCATTGCATTGAACAGAGCAATTTTAAAAAAGCTTTTAAGGTAGATGGAAATAGTTTGCCTAGTTTTCTGCGTCTGATTTAAATACAGAAAAGTTGCTTGGTAGTGTATTTGCCATATTATCAGCCAGCTGCATTAACCTACATGACAGCTTGACGTCATACATTCAGTAAAATCCTTAGAGTCACAAATAGTACATCTTGCCTTCTCCATTTTACTCTCTGACAACCGTCTGTAGCAACACTTAAGAGCTAACTGACTTCAACTTCTTCGACATTACTCATTGTTCACAAGTATAAACACATTTCCTCGCTGTCATGGAAATGAGTATTGCCCACAAGCAAAAATATTGAGAGCTGTTTTAAAAAGCAGTTATTAGCTGATTTCTTCAGCAGCTCTGGTGCCCCTTCTCAGTGCTTCTCCGTCATTTTTCCCTCCTCCAGACTCTCACATCATTTCCATCTCTCCGCTCTCGCGCTCCTGTTTGTTCAGTATCTTGCACTCCCCTCCCTCACGCAAGCGCCAACGTCTGCCTCTCCTCTTGCTCTCCCACATCTTTCACCACTGCTCTCCCTCTTCCCCTTTCCCTTTTGCCAGAGCGCTGAGGGCCCCCCCA